ATATTGTTACAACACGTTACCTATATTCAACCAGTTTCAGTGGCGGATCCAGGAATTCGTAATGGGGGGGGGGGGGGGGGGGGCAGGGTAAGGGCTGTCCACAATGGTTGTGCGGTAACAACATTTATTATTATGGCACTAGTCTCTGACTTTTTTCTCTATTTTTTCTTAAATTTTGAAACTTAATAGGTGGGTGGGGGTGTGGGTGAGGGGAAAACTTTATTTCTAGTAACAAGAAACACTTTATTTCTAGTTTCAAGTAATGAGTGAAGAAACCGTTGTCTCTAGAAAATGTTTAATTTTAATCCACTCGAATAACCACTGAGAGATTCAACGCTTCCGTAATTTAGGATTAGACATTTTCTAATACCAGGGTTTTTGGAAATTCAAAGCAGCATTTTTTTCTTACGATTTAAAATCGAAACTCAGCTCCTCAATCCTCATAATGAGACTAAAGACAAAGTACGTTTGTGATATATTCAAAATTAATTTCTCTCTAGTGCACTCGAGGTAGATCTCATGTATATATTTCTAATCATAAAACTATTTTCAACATAATATTACATTTACTGGCCCTAAAATATGTAATTTTCTACCTCCCCTGTTGTCGATTCCATTAATAAAAAAAATCATTTTCTATTCAGCAAAGAAACACTTTATTTCTAGTTAATACGGTAGTGAACGTCCCAATTATCCTTCTTGTTTTCACAAAATTTTGTTCGTTGTCTTGGTCTAATTTGAGCTGTTGCTTTTTTTGTCTTATTTGTCTTGTTCTGTCCAAGTCCTATCTTTCTGTTTTTCCCGTCTCCCTTTTGCCTTTTTGTTTCAGGCTGACTCACCACAAGATGTTTCTTCTTCTTGGGTCTGTGCCTTTTGCCTTTTCTCCTGAATTGTTACTGATTTTGTATTTTATATTTGTATGAATTTGAAAAGGAATCAAATATATGTTACGTTGAAAACTCTGTCCACACTGCCACATTTATGTGACGTCATCATACTGTGTAGGCACATCACACACATTATTCACATATTCCTAAATTGTTGTTGATAGAGCTTTAGTATCTTAGAGCATCATTGCCCGTCCTGCCTAAGTCAATGGCAGATTAAAGGGGAGCCTCCCCATATTTTTTTTCTAAATAAAAAAAAAAAACAAATTGTGAAAATAATATTCATATAAGTCTCAGTGTACCATTTACATCTAGATGTGCTATAATTATATATTTTTTTACTCAGCCTCAACCATTGTGGGGCCGAGGTTACTGGACCATTTATAGATGAAAGTTTCTCTCTGGGCCCCCTCTATCTCGAATTCCTGGATCCACCACTGAATAAAAAAATGAATATTATGAGTATGAAAAATAACGCTGATAAAACTCCCGTCTCCTCCAGAAAACATAGGCCTACTCTAAATTTTATAGCTAGCGCTGGGAACAACATTGGTGTGTTATTAAAATTCTATTATAATGGAACTTTTCACCAACCATTGGATTGCTAATGTCCCACATGACAGAGTAAACTTACGTTAACTAGGGCGTTGTGAAACAGCACAACACCTGTTTGTGGACAAGTGCGTATTTCTGGCTTGTTCTGTTTCGTTTGTTCTATTGACACTTCGGAAATGTCCATTGTAAACTAGCGATTGTGTGTTAAATACGAAAAAAACGCAGATGCCAGAGCAATAAATGGTAATTAACAAAAAATAGTACATTTCCAGGTGGTGCGAAAAATAATTATATTGTAACCTAAAAAAGAAAAGATTACTGATGATGTTGATGATAACAATAATGTATAATAATGATAATAACAATGACAAACAGCAATAATTGTGATCATCTTAAAGTACCTCCTAGGGACTCGATAATCATTGAACTTGAAAAAGACACCATAGGTCCAGTGCCAAAGCAATATATATATACTGTCTCTTATACACATCTAGATGTGTATAAGAGACAGGCCTAATCATGAATCATTAATCATGATGTGCTCTCTTTCAATGATTGTAAAATTGTGTTTATCTCATCTTGTACTTTCACGTGTTTTTATTCACTTTTATCTGTTTGCCAAAGAGGAAACAAATTTCCATTTTTTTATATTGGACAATAAAGTTAGCTATATTGGACAATTCTGTTATAATACAAATGTTATAATCAGTACATTTCGACTACCTTAAATATGTAAACCTTTTCTGCTGTATAAAACAGCCTAATATTCATATAATTAAATTATTTTGAATTTATTAGAAAACAAATTATATTAGGCTTTTAACATTACATAGAAAAAAGAAGAGCAAAACAAATTAACATTCTTTGACTTTTCTAATAACAGAACAATTATTTGCATTCATTTCTTAGGGGAAAACAATCGCTGCAAAGCGGCTAATGGTTAAGAAAGGGTCTTACTCAGATCTACCTCTTCTCTTATAAGCTCGACTCAGTACTAAAAAATCCTATTAATGAAAGTTATATATAAATCTTACCTATGTTCATAAAGATGTGAAGATTAAATTTTTTCATGGTTAGAGTGGCGGGATAGGGACCCATTTGATTAACTCTATTTTAACCCTTTCCAGTTGTATGGTGTGGTGACGACGCCCTCTTTGGCCGTACTTTATAGCGAGGGGCGTCGTAGGTACGCCCTGCATACATTTCGTAATTATTTGTTTTCTAGCTATGCTGCCCCTATATAATTGCTGTCTCTCCCTATATAATTGTTTGAGAGTGATGTAGGAGTATTTATGAAGTGTTCCCTGTATTCAGACCAAATAAAATGGCTGCGCCCAGTGAAAACCTGACATTTAGTGTAGATAATGTAACTTTTCAGCTTTGGGTGCAGCCTCAGGTAAAGGTAATGGGGCAGACTGGAAAGACAGATATTCATTCCCTACCACCAGTTCTTCAGTAGTACATCATTCCTTCTATGTTTAATGTCAGGCTACGGAGGAAAATTTGTTTTTGATATGTTGCAGAACTGATTTTTCTAAGACACAAAAAGCATATTTGAAGGAAAACTTGGAAGCGGTTAAAGTCAGGCTCCGGAGGAAAAACAATTTTTGATATGTTGTAGAACTGATTTTTCCAAGACAGAAAAACGTTTTTAGTAAACTAATGGTGAAGCAAGAATTCTTGCAGATGATGGAGTATTCCTCTGTTTTGTAGAACCCCCACTAATAAAAGTACAACATATATTAAAGATTTTAATAATTCTTAAGAATATTATAAATGTATTTTATTGTTTGTCATAATATTTGGATCTAATTGTCTAGAAGGGCATTTATTGTTCTTATCTTTTAATTTTCCTGTATCTATATGTTGAATATTTTTAAATTAAATATAATATACAGGTATATTCATTATATATTTATCATTAACTATACCAATACCCTACATACTAAAGAATATTGAATTTTTTTTTTATGAAGACATATTTCATCGAATTAGGTTGAAATATTCTAGCTCTTTGCCCTATAAATAAAATTCAATGGTGGATCCAGGAATTTTAAATACAGGGGACCAGGTAGGGACTTCCACAGATGGTGGTCTAGACCACCTCAAACCCTATCATGTTTACGGCTGAGGTCAGAAAATTTATAATTGTGGCACCTCTAGGTTGCCAGAAATGACACTCTCTTGAATATAATTTTATTTTTTTTCTCCATTTTTTTTCCCATTTTCCATTTAAATTTAAAAAACTTTAAGGGGCCCAGGGCAACTGGACCAGCCCCCCCCCTACCCACTGCTTGAATCTGCCACTGGAATTCTTAAAATATATCTTCCAGACATTGGGAAGGTTGTAATATAGCAAATAGATATAAAGTGAATAAATTACTTCACAGAATATTAGTACAGTATTTTGCATCAGTGTTTCATTTTATTTAGATATGCTTGGTAATTCTATTATCACTAGCGGATCCAGGATTTATTTTCTGGCGGAACGAATGCTGTTAAAGTATTTATATAGTCCATGGGGTGGGGTCCTAGGATATGAGGGGGCAGGAACCTAGGGCTCTGAGGCATCAGGTTTAGATGCTTTGTACCTTTTTGTGGGGTCGAAGAAGCTTTGCCTCCTGGAAGCTCTGAAGTTTTAGCAAATGAAACTTTTTTGCTGCTGGCAGACTCATTTCCTACAGATTGTGATAGCATCGAAAACGTATTTTGCTTTCTAATAAATTTTTCTAATAATTAGATAATAATTTATCTAATTATTATTCAAACATTTTTTCTGATGTGTTTTATATATTTAATAGAGGGCCCCTGAACTTTAGCTGCCTTCTTGGTCCAGTTGGAAGGGTTATCCTCTATAAATAAAGTTTTAATAAAGAATAAAGATGTGTATTGGTATTTTATTCCAAATGTTGGAGCCTACAGAGGTAATTTAAAAATTGTCCAGTTGTAGTGGCAGCCTTTGGCGGATATAGATTTCCCTTTGAGTTTTGCATAGTTTCATGTGGGTGTGTGATAAATGTAAAATATTCATTTAAATCTTGAGGCAATTTTTCATGATAGAGATCAAATATAAATGAAGAGGTACATAATTTGTGTAACTTCAAAACACCTAGCAATTTCAATTTGTTAAACAAATCGTCTCGTCAATCTTTCTATAACAAATTCTGTATCCGCCACTATTCACAAACACCTTATCGATTACCACATGCTGAAGACTGTCTTCGACCGGTTCCTGTTGTGTCGTTACGACAGCGGATGTTACTGTAATTTATGGATTTATCGGCGTATTATATATTATATAACCTGAATCCTTAACCTGAAAATCATATTTTATAAAAATATAACATTCAAAAAAGAGATGTGTTATCATAGTCTGCAGTATCTGTCATTCATTATTGTAAGTTTAATTTTAAAGTTTAGAGAATTATAGGTCATTACAGTATTGCTCATCAAAGTGAAACAAATACAATTGATCACAACTCGCTGGAGGCTTAATTATGTTTGTGATTCGTCGCTGATAAACTAAATAAAACTTATTGATGCTAACGCCTTCTAAGTGAGCACATTACATAATGTTACACCATAGTTGACAAACGGTACACTATGGGATTATTACAAGTTCTTCTAATGGTAAGTATATCTGCTGCTAATATTGTATTATATAATATTGTTACAACACGTTACCTATATTCAACCAGTTTCAGTGGCGGATCCAGGAATTCGTAATGGGGGGGGGGGGGGGCAGGGTAAGGTTCACAGATTGAGGTCTATACCACCTCACCTCCACAATGGTTGTGCGGTAACAAAATTTATTATTATGGCACTAGTCTCTGACTTTTTTCTCTAATTTTTCTTAAATTTTGGAACTTAATACGTGGGTGGGAGTGTGGGTGAGGGGGAAACTTTATTTCTACTAACAAGAAACACCTTATTTCTAGTTTCAAGTAATGAGTAAAGAAACCGTTGTCTCTAGAAAATGTTTAATCCTAATCCACTCGAATAACCACTGAGAGATTCAACACTTCCGTAATTTAGGATTAGACATTTTCTAATACCAGGGTTTTTGGAAATTCAAAGCAGCATTTTTTTCTTACGATTTAAAATCGAAACTCAGCTCCTCAATCCTCATAATGAGACTAAAGACAAAGTACGTTTGTGATATATTCAAAATTAATTTCTCTCTAGTGCACTCGAGGTAGATCTCATGTATACATTTCTAATCATAACACAAACTATTTTCAACATAATATTACATTTACTGGCCCTAAAATATGTAATTTTCTACCTCCCCTGTTGTCGATTCCATTAATAAAAAATCATTTTCTATTCAGCAAAGAAACACTTTATTTCTAGTTAATACGGTAGTGAACGTCCCAATTATCCTTCTTGTTTTCACAAAATTTTGTTCGTTGTCTTTGTGTAATTTGAGCTGTTGCTTTTTTTGTCTTATTTGTCTTGTTCTGTCCAAGTCCTGTCTTTCTGTTTGTTATTAAAATTCTATTATAATGGAACTTTTCACCAACCATTGGATTGCTAAGGTCCCACATGACAGGGTAAACTTACGTTAACTAGGGCGTTGTGAAACAGCACAACACCTGTTTGTAGGACAAGCGCGTATTTCTGGCCTGTTCTGTTTCGTTTTTTCTATTGAAACTTCGGAAATGTCCGTTGTAAACTAGCGATTGTGTGTTAAATACGAAATAAACGCAGATGCCAGAGCAATAAATGGTAATTAATAAAAAATAACGAATATTTCCAGGTGGTGCGAAAAATAATTATATTGTAACCTAAAAAAGAAAAGATTACTGATGATGATGATGTTGATGATAACAATAATGTATAATAATGATAATAACAATGACAATAACAGCAATAATTGTGATCATCTTAAAGTACCTCGATAATCATTGAACCTGAAAAAGACACCATAGGTCCAGTGCCAAATCAATA